GGGGGTAGTTGTTGCTTGAACTTGGATTAGGAGGGAAGGGAGATTGACCTTAGATTTTATCACAAATATATGCGTAATGTATCGCAAATGCTTAGAAGTACTTGAAATGTAAAACCCGCAATTATGATTTAAATGATAGTAATTTACACTAGTGGTTCTCTGTAAAAGTGATTTTGCGGATTTCTTCAGCAAAGACAATGCGACAAATGAAATTAAGAATATCTTTTGAAACAGAAAACAACGATATCTTCTTCGTTATTAATCCGATAAAGGGCGTAAGGGTGGTATTGTGAACCAGGCATGTCAAACTCTAAAATAGGGTTTAATTTAATATTTATTCAGCAGCCCCTCCTTTAACCATACGTTATCGTTTAGTTTTTACAGGATTTAAAAGAAATGAAAAAACTAGATTTTAATAAATTGAAGAAAATACTAAGAATACAATTAAATAAGATATCTTCAAATTAATTTGTTAATTTCATGTCAACTTCTTATGTACGCATCTACGCCTCTCAAAAACAAAATAGATAAAATAATTTGGATTATTATTTTTATAACAAAAATCCATTCTCACCTTTTTTACTAATAAATCAACGTCACAAAAATATGAATAATGATTGAGAGCGCGCGTTTTACGTACCGTTTTTTTTACTTATTTTTAGTATGATTTCTATCATCCTGAACATACCGATAAAATATAAGGAATAGGTTCATTAAATACTATGTTGCAATTCATAACCCCAACTTTAGAATTTATATATTTATAAAGTTTTATAAACTTTTGTGGTAAATTAAACTCCTTCTTGAGAGGGTCATAGAAACAAAAAGTTTATTTTTCAAGCTTTAACATTGTTTTAACCGTTTTTACAAAACCTCAAAAGTATTTATCTACAGATTTCACATTTCAAGAGAAAAAAGTTCTAAATGTTTCATGTTTAAACTCTTTAGACTAAACAACTGATAAAAACTATTAAAGAGTATAAATGTTCTAAGAAAAAAATGTGTATAAACGAAAATCAATAATGATGGATAAACTAGCGTCGGTTAAAGAGTAGGGGTGGCTCCTGATTGGAAAGAAATAA